ACATGATTGAGTCTGCTGTTAAGGCTCTCTATTGAAATTTTTAGTTCTGTCATTGTATTCACCAGCTACAGAAGAGCTTTAAAAAAAAAGAAATAAAAAATGTCTAGTGCTTTATTAAACCTCTCATTTTATTCATGCATTGTTTTTCTAATTTTATTTATTGTCTGTGTTTTATTACATCTCATTGAGCTTCTTAAAGATTATTATTTTGAATTTTTATTCAGACAATTTGTTCATCTCCATTTCTTTTGAGTCAGTTACTAGAGCTTTATTAGTTTTCTTTGATGGTGACATATTTGTTTGATTCTTCATTATCTGTGTAGCCTTATGTTGGTGTTTGTGCATTTAAAGGAGCAAACACTGCTTCCAGTCTTGAAAGACCGGTTTTGGCAAGTAAAGTCCTTTTGTTGTTGGGTCCCTGACCTGAGAGAATTTCCCCTGGGATCACAGTTGAGTAGGGTTGGAGCAGGGTCCCAAAGCTGCTGTTGAATCCATAGTAGGGTCCACAGTTTGTGGGCCTGTTAATAGGGTCTCTGGCAGGTGTAGATCTTGTCTGGTCTCTTGATTAGACTAGGCTATCTCCAGGACCTTGGTCAGTAGGGCTGATGCTGGGATGAGGGTCTGCTTTAGTGTCCACAGATGGAGGGCATGTTATCAGGTGTGTAGATGAGTGTGGTTTCCTCCAGGTTCCTGGAAGGGCTCCCACTGGGTCACTTTGTGAGGACCTGGGCAAGTAGTACTGGCCCTGGACTATGGCTGAGAGGGGCTAGAACTGAGTCACAGGGCTGCTTCAGGGTCTAAAGCTGAGACTGAGGTCTGCAGGCCTGCCTTTGGGATCAAGGACAGGTGTGTCTCCTGGTGGGGAAGGCAGGACTGCCCTCAGACTGCATCTGAGAGGGGCTAGACTGAATTTACAGGGCCATTTCAAAATCCATAGTGGCAACAAGTTTAGTGGGCCTATCTGCAGGTGCACTAATGGGTGTGTCTCCCTCTGGGTCCCTGCGTGGGCAGGATTGTGCTCAAACTGTGACTAAGAAGAGATGGAGCCAAGGTATCAGGCTGTTTTAGGATTTGCTGTGGGGCCAAGGTTGGTTGGCCTGCCTGAGTGGCATGGAAGGGTATATCTCCCTCTAGGTCCCTGGGCAGACAGGACTGATCTCAGACCAGAGCTGAGAGGGGCTGGAGCCAAGTTACAGTGCCATTTTAGGATCTGCTCTGGGACCAAGATTGGCTGGCCTACCTGAGGAGCCATCAACAGGTATGTCTCCCTCTGGGTCTGTAGGCGGGCAAGATTGATCTCAGACCACAGCTTAGAGGGATTGCAGCTGAGTTTCAGGGCCATTTCAGGGTCCACAGCTGGGACTGAGGTCAGCAGGCCTGTCACCTAAGGCATTAGTGTGTGTGACTCCTCTCAGGCCCCTTGGTGGTTGGTTTTGGTAGCAGGACCCAGGCTAAACAGGTCTTTTGCTGAGTCCGCAAGAAGATGGGGCCATTTTCAGATTTGATGCTGGGACTGTGGTTGGTGATTCAGCTACCTGGTCATGTGTCTTCCCTCTCAAAACAGCTCTTCTGAGGGGAGTGTGGCCTTCTCCTCTCCCTGCCATGGCTTGTGCTCGTCCACTGATATCGGTATACTCCAAAAAGTGGGAGTCATCTGGCAAAAATGTCACTTTGCCTGCTGTCTTCAAGGCTCCCATTTGACCAGATATTGTGAACTTCGTTCACACCAACTTGCGCAAAAACAACAGACAGCTCTATGCTGTCAGTGAATTAGCAGGTCATCAGACCAGTGCTGAGTCTTGGGGTACTGGCAGAACTGTGGCTAAAATTCCCCGAGTTCAAGGTGGTGGGACTCACCATTCTGGCCAGGGTGCTTTTGGAAATATGTGTCGTGGGGGCCACATGTTTGCACCAACCAAGACCTGGCATCTCTGGCACCGTAGAGTGAACACAACCTAAAAGCGATATGCCATCTGCTCTGCCCTGCCTGCTTCAGCCTTACCAGCACTGGTCATGTCTAAAGGTCATTGTATTGAGGAAGTTCCTGAACTTCCTTGGTGGTTGAAGATAAAGTTGAAGGCTACAAGAAGACCAAGGAGGCTGTTTTACTTCTTAAGAAACTTAAGGCCTGGAATGATATCAAAAAGGTCTATTCCTCTCAGCGAATGAGGGCTGGCAAGCACAAAATGAGAAACCGTCATCGTATCCAGCGTAGGGGACCCTGCATCATCTACAATGAGGACAGTGGTATCATCAAGGCTTTCAGCAACATCCCTGGAATTACTCTGCGTAATGTAAGCAAGCTGAACATTTTGAAACTTGCTCCTGGTGGACATGCGGGATGTTTCTGCATTTGGACTGAAAGTGCTTTCCGGAAGTTAGATGAATTATATGGCACTGGGCGTAAAGCTGCTTTCCTTAGGAGTAACTACAACCTTCCCATGCACAAGATGATCAACACAGACCTTAGCAGAATCTTGAAAAGCCCAGAGATCCAAAGAGCTCTTCAAGCACCATGCAAGAAGATTCATTGCAGAGTCCTGAAGAGGAATCCACAGAAAAACCTGAGAATCATGTTGAAGCTAAACAGATATGCAAAGACCACGTGCCGGAATGCCGTTCTTCGCCAGGCCAGGAATCACAAACTTCGGGTGGATGAGGCAGCTGCAGCAGTATGGGCCAAATCAGTGAGAAGGGGTTGCAGGCAAGAAGCCTGTAGTAGTGAACAAAGGAAAAAAGCCTGTTGGTGTTAAGAAGCAGAAAAAGCCTTTGGTGGGAAAAAAGGCTGCCTCTACCAAGAAACCAGCAGCTGAAAAGAAACCAGCAGAAAAGAAACCTACCACAGAAGAAAAGAAGCCTACTGCATAAACTCTTAAATTTGTTTATTCCATAAAGGTCAAATCATTTTGGACAGCTTATTTTGAATAAAGACCTGATCAAAGAGGCAGTGAGAAAAAAAAAAACAACAAAAAACAGCTCTTCTAGGTCTTAGGCTCCCACATGATTGTTGCTGTGGGGAAATATAAGCAGAGAACCTCATATTCTGCTACTTTGCTGACAAATGACATTTAGGTTGAGTCCTAAATGTTGAATATGGGCTAGCTGATAGTTGGGGCTGGGTAACAACTTCAGAAAGAAGCGATAGTATGGAAGTCCTGCTGTAGAAGGAGATTACAGCATTTTAAAAAAGGAGGTCACTGCATCTAGTGTTAGATGAGGGAGGGGCGGAGTAAAACAAGATGAGGCTAGCAGCAGCTGCATCATGGATGCTCTGATCTCTGGTAAGGATCTCAAATGGGGAAGTAAAATGTTGGATGTGTTTTTAAAATAGATTATGTAGCTGTGGTTTTGGGGGGGGGGTTTTGGAGGTTTAAGGGGGCTAGTTTTCTTTCTTCATTCCTAGGCCCTTAGGCTTGAACTAGGCTTGGCCATTTAGACATATTCATCTGGTACTTAAATCTAGAGGAAATGCTGCAAAGATTCAAAGAGTGAGTAGCTGGTAATGGGTGATAGGAGCCCAGTGGCAGCAGCACCACTAGCAGTAGTGGAATTTCCTAACTAGACTTCCATGGCAGGATGTTTGGCAGTGTCTTTTACAACTAGTCTTTCTTGGATCCTGTCTATGTTTTAAGACTGCTTTTATAGCATTTCTATTGATTCTGAGTTGTGTTACAGTTTTTCCATTTTTGTGTTGATTTAGTTAGCTAGAGTTGGTTTCTATGTTTGCAACCTGATTACCCTAACAGTTACTGTCTTGGTCAATGGGAGAAGTGCTGAAGGGTCCAATAGGTTGGAAATGAAATAGAAGCTATTGTTAAAGGTTTTTTTTATTTCAGCATATTACAGGGGTGCAAATGTTTGGGTTACATATATTGCCTTTGCCCCACCAGAGTCAGAGCTTCAAGTGTGTCCATCCCCCAGACGGTGCTCACTGCACCCATTAGCTGTGAATACACCCATCCCCTTCTCCCCGCTCCCACCTGCCCGACACCCAATGACTGTTACTACTATATGTGCACATAAGTGTTGATCAGTTAATACCAATTTAATGGTGAGTACATGTGGTGCTTGTTTTTCCATTCTTGTGATACTTAGTAGAATGGGCTCCACCTCTATCCAGGATAATACGAGAGGTGCTAGATCACCATTGCCTTTTGTGGCTGAGTGAAACTTCATGGTATACATATACCACTTCTTATTAATCCACTCATGTATTGATGGGCATTTGTGTTGTTTCCACATCTTTGCAATTGTGAATTGTGCAGCTATAAACATTCTAGTGCAGATGTCTTTTTTATAGAATGTCTTTTTTTCCTTTGGGTAGATGCTCAGGAATGGGATTGCTGGATCAAATGGTAGTTCTACTTTTAGCTCTTTGAGGTATCTCCATATTACTATCCACAGAGGTTGTACCAGTTTTCTGTTTTTTTTTTTTTATTTCAGGGTATTGTGAGGGTACAAACATTATGGTTACACTTCATGTCTTTGCCTCACCCAAGTGCGGGTTAAAGGCATGCCCTTCCCCCCCCTACAGTGCTCCCTGTGTCCTTTAGTTGTGGATTTGGTTGTACCAGTTTGAAGTCCCACCAGCAGTGTAGGAGTGATCCTAACTCTCTGCATCCATGCCAGAATTTATTGTTTTGGGACTTTCATAAAAGCCGTTCTTACTGGAGTTAGGTGATATCTCATTGTGGTTTTGATTTACATTTCCTTGATGATTAGAGATGTTGGGCACTTTTTTTTATATGTTCGCTGGCCATTATTCTGTCTTCTTTTACAAAGTTTTGGTTCATGTCTTTTGCTCACTTTTTAATGGGGCTGTTTGATTTTTTCTTGTTAAGTTTCTTAAGTTCTATATAGATTCTAGTTATCAGCCCTTTGTCAGATGTGTAGCATGCAAATATTTTCTCCTATTCTGTAGGCTATCTGTTCATTCTAATGATAGCTTCCTTGGCTGTACAGAGGTTGGGACTGAGAACCCAGATATAAAACCATCCTCATATTGTCATCTCTTCTTTGACAAAGCAGACAAAAATATACACTGGGGAAAAGAATCTCTATTCAATAAATGGTAATGGGAAAACTGGATAACCACATGCAGAAGATTGAAACTGGATCCCCACCTCTGACCTCTCATAAAAATCAACTCACAATGGATAATAGACTTAAACCTAAGGTGTGAAACCTTAAGAATTCTAGAAGAAAATGTTGGGAAAACTCTTACAGACATTGGACTAGCCAAAGAAGTTATGAAGTAGACCCCCAAAGCAATCACAGCAGCAGCAAAAATAAATAAATGAGATCTGATCAAGTGTTGTCATGCTCTGAATGGGATTTTGAAGAGTTACGTGAAAGGTTACTTTTACCTTTCAAAAACCGATTTTTGTAGGTTAGTAATGTTGCCCCCAGGTGGCAGCAACACACAAGGTTACTTTTTATATGTAGGCAGGAAGGAAAATGTATGAGAAAAGCAATTAGAATAACTTTCTATAAAAAATCAAATATACATATTTTCTCATTATCATTAAAGTTAAAAGCTTCATGCGTATTGAAGCAAAGAGAGCTTGAGCACACCAGGCCTAAACGAGGAGCTTGTGGTGAGACAGAGGTTCTGAGTTCAGACAGACCATATCTGAGACCCCTAGTTCCACCTTTTATTAACTTGTGATCTTCAGCAAGTTCAATTAGCCTCAGCAGGATGTTGCAGTGATTAAATGAAATACGTGCCTGGTACAAAGTTGGTGTTCCATATGTGGGAGTTACGGTCATTATAAGCATTTCCTTGGAAGCTCTTAAATTTCCTTTAAAAGCTTAATTCTATGAAGAAAAATTGAATCATACACATGAAGTTGAAACTTCTTTGGGTTTGTGCATAGCTTCAGGGTAGAGTCATGACAAGGTTCCATGCCACCTACTTAGAGAATCATTTTGATAAGTGGCCTCTTTCACTCAAAACTTCTAAAAGGCTACGGTATAAAAAAAAACTATGTATAAATGGTATATAGAAAGTCATTAAGTGTCTCATTTGCTAGATTGAAAAAAACATTAATGGCTTCTTACTGCTTACAGAATTAAGTCAATATTGCTTAGCATGACATACAGGGTTCACCTTACCAGATTCTAATCATGTAAGCCATGCCCATGCAGATACCTAGTACTATCTATAGTACTAGCCATGTACTGCTAGTATAGTAGTCCGGTAGTTATAGTACTACTAGTAAGGTAGTCCAGTAGTTATAGTACTACTAGTATACTAGTCCAGTAGTTCTATCCATGGTGCTCTGGTGCTTTGTAGTCAGTCATGAGGCATGTCATAAATAATTTGATAGAATAATAGTTAAAATTCTGAAGAAACTGAATATGTACTGCTTCCATATAGGATTGTAGACTCAAGGGTATTCCTATTATAGCATTATAACCTTTTTCATTTCAAATGGTTTCTTGAGTGAAAGTAATTTCCAGAGTGAAAATTAGCATGATGGGAATTGGGCACACCCAGGCAGGTCCTGTGATGCACCTTGGGCCGGTGAGTAGTCTCTGCTGAGAATTGCTCTTCTGGCTATGTTGGCCACAATGTTCTCTGAACTCATCACACAACTTCATTCCTTTGTGCTACTGCTCAAGCTTTTCTTCTGCTTCCAATGGCTTTTTTAAAAACCTTCTCTACTTCCTCATCTAGCCTCCTGCAAGATCCTCACTTAAATGTTACCTCCTCTGTGAAGCCTTTTTAATCCCACCAGGAGCTATCATCCCCTCCCTTTTTTTGCTTTATGAGTACTATTATTATCCCTCTCATTCATTCAACAAACATTTGAATGCCTAGAGTGAACACATTGCCTCATAGTTTGATTATGTGTCTGTCATTCCAGCAGGAATGCAGACATTTGCATCACAAGGGTGCAAATTTTAGTTATCTTTGCACTCCCAGAGCTTATTAAGAAGTGAACGTAGAGCAGACATTCAATTAAAGTTGACTAATTTGTGCACTAAAAAGAACTGAAACAGCAAAAAGTGTTGTGGGCTATGAGAATCATATATGGAAGGCTATAGATAGACTGATAAAAGGAAGAGAGAGGAGAAGGAGAAGAAGTAGCGAGTTATTGGGGGTTCACAATGCCCCCAATGTAACCAGGTCCCTGGGCAGTGTGCATTGAAGGTGGGAGAGGCAAAGACATGGACACAAAAAGTAAGGTGAAAGGGTGTGGGGAATTCAGGGGACCACCAGCATTCCTGTGAGCCAGGTGGTACTGACTGAAGTCTAGCACCCGTTTTTATTCTCTTTTTCATGCCATAGATCACAATGATTTCACGTGAAAAGATCATGGGTTACAATGTGTAGAAGTTTCGAGGCTCCCCTGACTGTCACAAGATGCCTTAGCTAATTACTCTTTTATCTACAGAAGCAGGGACACATAGCTCGTTACTAAGCACAACTACACCTTAAGGTAAGTATAGTTAGTATCTCTGAACTCAGCAGCTGTGGCCCATTCGATGGAGGAACAAAGAGATTAGTACTTCTTATTGGGAGGTTAGCTCCCCATTAACTGAGGCATTCTACTGAAAAAGAGGAGGGAAGGAACTCAGCTGGATGTTTTTTAAGAATTGGAGCCTGATGTCCCTTCTCCCGGGCTGACATTTTGCAATCTTCCTCTACAGCTGTGGGTGGCTTTCATGTCAAGCCGCTCTGTGGTTTTTTAGGCATGAGGCCCCTCAGGCTCTAAGGTGGGAGTCTGCTTTGCTGTACTCCCAGATCGCTGGAATGTCCCCCAACTAGGCAGTTAACTTCTGCCCTTATCTCTGGCTCCTGCTCAGACAGCATTCCTTCACCTCCTTTCCTTCCACAGCCTCAGAAATGGGGTCCCTAAGCCCCAGTGGTCTTATTCCCATCAGAGAGTAGACTGTAAATCTCAGAAAAGTACATGTCCTTAGATGCCAAAGAGCAAATTATTCCATTGTTCCGGCAGAAGTTGGCAGCACCCATTTCTCAGTAGACACAGGGACCTGGATCCTTTGTTCTCAGGGCATTTTACATTTGTTACCAGATCATAATCTTTAGATTCCATCAATAAAGCCATTACTTGCTTTTTAAGTTGACTACAGAGTGAATAGAAATATCCTTGATGCTTGCCAGAGGGAAAAACAGAATCCATTGATTTGTAGGCAAACAAGCTAGTACAAAGGTAGGAAAGCTCACATATCAAGAGACCAAAAGTGCAGGGAGATCAGGGTATAAGAGAGAGACTCAACCTCCCTCTGTGTGCCCTAACCCTTGACTCTGCCACTGTGTCCTGTGTGTTGGTGGGCAGTAGAAAATCAGCACCATGAAGATTTTGGTCTTGGTTTTAGCTTGTCTATATCTCTCAGAAGGTGTGGAAAGGTATGTTTTGGGATTTGGCTTCATTGTGAATTCTAGCCTCCAGAAAGCATGACAAGCTAGGGAAGAGTAATGACCTTCCTCTGCAGGCCTCCTGGAGAGCCAGTCAAGTTGTCTTTTGGTACTATGAACTGAACACCCACTGGGGGCCAAGGCTTGAAATGGATGGGGATGTGTGTGTGTGCGTGTAACGGTGGATGGAGTGTTTTTTTGGCGAAGGAGGAAGGATACACAATTCCTGCCTCAAGCTTATAGGAAGGACTTGGAAGAAACAGACATTTATCCTCTGAAAACAATCTATAAGCACAAAATCTTGAAAATATGGTATAGGGCGTTTCCATGCTGGGAATGTTGCAGTGAATTCAGTGGTTAGAGCTTGCTAAAATCTGAGAGGATTCCCTTTAAGAGGCTCTATTTGAGTACTGAAGAGATTTGAATATTGCAGTTCAGATCATTGAAGGGATTGCTTTAATGGGGCCAAGGTGAATCCCAGTCCTTTTGTTTACCCTATTCTCTGCAGAATCATTCTGAGGAAAGGCAAGTCTATCCGCCAGGCGATGGAGGAGCAGGGTGTACTGGAGCAGTTCCTAAGGAACCACCCAAAGGCTGACCCAGCTGCCAAGTATCATTTCAATAATGTTGCTGTTGCTTATGAGCCCATCACCAACTATCTGGATGTGAGTAAAGGGGCAAGGGGTGTCCATAACCCTTATATAACCACCATTCTTAGATACTCATTTGTACCTCTCATTAGCTGTAATGTTGAACTGGTTACTAAACCTAAGCCTCACCTTCCTATGGAAAGAATTAGAACAAATTATAAGTTGGTACCATCTAATAGTATAGTAATTCCCTTTTCTTCCTCTTTTCCTCTCATTACTGGCCCGTTTCTCTAAAGCCCCATTTATATGGTTAACAGATTCATAGTGGGAATGTTCAAGTCAACTGAGAGATCCAAAGGAAGTCCTGGTAATAGCTGCAGGGGAAAGAGGAAAATGCATATGAAGTTGGCAGGCAAAAGCTCCAGTGGCACCAGACACTACATCTCTCCCTCTCTTTGGAAAGACACACTGGTCCCCAGAGCAAAAGTGTGAAAGTGCTCAAGCCTACAATGTCTCATCAGGGCATCTCAACATTCTGGTGTCCTATGGACTGTCCTTAGTGAGATGTCATGTTGAGCATCAGAGCTAGAAGTCACCTTAGGGATCTCCTATTTCAACTCCTGTATTTTACATATGAAAGAACTAGAGGTGAGTAAGTGACATGACTGGCCCGAATTGACTTAGAATTTAAGCTATCTCCCAGTGAAATGCTTTTCTGGTCCTCCATGCTACCTCTTATCCCAGACTTCCTTGTACTTCCTGCTAGCATGTGACCAGGAGGGAGGAAAATGGTGGTAGAAGTATCTAACAATGGAAGAGAAGGGGAGAGGAGTGTGTGTATGCGTGTTTGTGAGATGTGGGAGGGTGGATGGACATTGAGAAAGGAGAAAAAAATTAGTATTTCTCCAACTCTGGGTATTCTGGCATAGCATGGTAAACCCATGAAGGTATTAACTTATTGTTAAAGTAGAAACTCATTTGGAAGAGGATATTGTCTTGCCAAACTAAGTCTCAGCTGCACAAAGGCTTTCAATTAGAGATAAAAAAGCAGAATCTTGAGAGGAGCTGGCTCCAGATGGGAAGGAGAACTTGTGGGAGAAGCCACTTATTCCCCCAAAGAAATGATTTGGGCAAAATGTGGGTCAACTTCTTGCTTATCCCTAGGACAAGGCTTGGTTGTTTAATGAGGGTGACAAACCTTTCTTTGCAGTCTTTCTACTTTGGGGAGATCAGCATTGGGACACCACCTCAAAATTTCCTCGTCCTCTTTGACACGGGCTCCTCCATCCTGTGGGTGCCCTCCACCTACTGCCAGAGCCAGGCCTGCTGTGAGTACACCACCACCACCCTCCACACCATGGATGGGAGCAGATGGAGGGGAAGAGTCAGGATTCAAGTCCAGCCTTATAATTCCAAGTCCAGAGTTCTTTATGCAGATCTATATCTTACCCTCCTTATATCGGGAACATCTAGAAGTCCTGCTCTCAGCCTGTCACTTCACCACATTTCGGAAGCGCCGACTGTTCTGGAGAGAGACAGCAGAAATAGACTAAGGCTTTCATTCCTTTCTACATTACTCCTTCTCCTCAGCTCTCTCCTGTGGCCCAGAATTCCTGGCATCTCTGAGGCAATCTGCCCTTTAGGGAGTGGTGGGTTGGAAGGAATTTGGGCTATGTCTGTTATCTAAGGGGACAGACTTTTCTGGGGCTAGCCCAGTTTGTCTGCAATGCAAAGGATCTGAGGGTGATGCCTTTGTCTGATGATCCTGAGCCATTGAGGATTAGTTGCCTCTATGCGTTTTGGAAAGCAGTGACTGACACTAACATTCCCTTCTGTCTTTCTACAGCCAGTCACAACAGGTTCAACCCCAGCCTGTCCTCCACCTTCAAAATCAATGGGCAAACCTATACACTGTACTATGGGAGTGGCAGCCTGAGCGTGGTCCTGGGATATGACACCGTGACTGTGAGTAGTGTTCACTTAACCTCTGAAGGTCTGTGATTTGGCTCTCATTTTCTAGAGTCTTAAGCTATTAGAGAAATTAATGCTTACTGAGTAGATATAACCAACCCAAAAGCCGAGCATCAGAAGAGACATCAAAGGCTATCTAATATTATGACTAAAGAGACATCACACACACAAAAAATGCTATCTAATTTAAGCTTCCTCCCAAGACAGGAGTCACTTTCACAGCAGTCCTGACTATAGAAAACTCTTTATGTTGTGCTAAAGTTGCTGTGTCTTCTTGTAACTTTGCTCTGTGGTCCTAACTCTGACCTCTGGAAGAACACAGAATAAATCTGCTTCTTTTCTCTTCCACACAGTTGCACTTTGCATATTTGAAAACAGGTCTTTTCATTTTCTTACATTTTTAGGTTAAACACCCACAATTCCTCTAATCATTCTTGCATGCAGATTGTTCAGTATAAAACCAGTTGCTCCTTTCACCGTCCCTGGAAGTGGAAATCATAACTCCAGAAAACAACTGCCTGCACTTCCCCAACACCCACACTTTTTTCCCCAAGACTCACGTGGTTGGTAGCACTGTTGCCCTTTCACCTTCCACTCCCACCCCCATGGTTGAGCTCTGCATGAAAAAAGCCAATTTCCTCTCCCCAGGAGAGGTTCTGGATTCCGGATCCTGGGCACCTGAGCCATGATTTGTCCACCTTAATTGTCAAGCTCTACTGTCTGCTCTCCCCAGGTTCAGAACATCATTGTCAATAACCAGGAGTTCGGCCTGAGTAAGAATGAGCCCAGCAGCCCCTTCTACTATTCACACTTTGATGGGATCCTGGGAATGGCCTACCCAGCCATAGCGGTGGGGAATGCCCCAACAGTCATGCAGGGGATGCTGCAGCAGGGCCAGCTCACTCAGCCCATCTTCAGCTTCTACTTCTCTCGGTAAGAACCCTTGTCCTGGGAAAGGCTCAGGAAATGAGGCTCCAGGGGGTCTCTAGACAAACCAAGGTCAGACAGGGCCCAGGTTATAGTTTCCTGATACAATGAATATTTCTGAAACTAAATTTTGGGAGGAATTTAATTTTAAATATACTTTAAGAGTTTTTAATTATATTAGCCATAAGCCATATGATAACTCTTTTCTTAAAAGTGAGCAACAATCCCTCAACATTTATTTAGGAAGTCTGGAGATTGCCATATTTGCACAACTGTAGAGCTATAGAACAAGCCACATGAACTTTTACTAGCAAAGAGAACAATAATGAAATAATAATTATACCATGTCTGGCTTTATGAAGCATTCTCATAGCAATTACTTCAAATGACATCTCAAAAATCCTGTTATTAGCCCCATTTTACCAGGCAGAAAATGGAGGCTCAAACAGGTTGTCGGTATTGATCAAGGTCACTCACTGGTAGTTATGAAGCCAAGACTCAAACTCAAATATCTTGATCCCAAATCTAGTGCTTTTCTTATTTCAACTGGCCTTGAAATTTTGTGTCAAACCTTACTTCCTGTTCCTTCTTTTCTAAACACATGATCCTCAAGGTACCAGACGGCAAAATGTCTTTCTTCTATGACTGGGAGGACCAGGACAGTGAACACGAAAGGGCTAAATCCTTCCAGCATGTGCAGCACCAACTTGACCACAATAGAAACATGCCCCTCATAGCACACTTGAGGGTTCTTGTCAGACCCCATTCCAGGTGCTCCTAGAGGTGTTTCTTCTCATTCTTAATTCCTCCCTGGGGAGAGTTTCTCTGGAATGCCTTCATAGTTTGTTTTCAGGTACCTGGTTTCCAATTCCATCTTCTCCAATTATGGGCTAATACTTTATGTGTTATTCTGAGAAGCCTCCTCTCCCTGTGCCTCAGCAGGGGGAACCTGAGAGCAGCTCAGAGGTCAGCATCTCCTCATTCTGCAGCACCTCTGTGTCTGAGGGAGTGAGGAAAGGATAGAGGAGAGACAGAACTGCCTGACCTGTTTTTGTTGTGGGAACTCACACTTGTATACATTTTTCCCCAGCCAACCAACCCATCAGTACGGTGGAGAGCTCATCCTGGGAGGTGTGGACACCCAACTTTATTCTGGTCAGATTGTCTGGACCCCTGTCACACAGGAATCGTACTGGCAGATTGCCATCCAGAAGTAAGTAGAAAGGGCAGTTCTTCAACATGACACTATTTCCCGTTCCTGCCATGGCTGACACCCTTCCTCCAAGTCACACAGGTTTCTTAAAGAATCATCAAACCCCCAGGCTGAGATGGTCCCGGAACTCAGTAGACTCTGGCACCGAGCTCTTGTTTGAACTTTTTGAACTGGTTACTGGGCCTGGCATGCCAGCAGGTTGGTTGTTTCTAGGCACTATGAATAATCCACGTCTTTATTCTTGGAAGCTTCATTGTCCTGATCTGCATAATCTTTACCACTTCCATCATTAGCGAAATTAACAGCTGTCATTCATGTTGGGCATATCCCAGATGCTATGTTAAGTACTTTAAATATATTATTTCATATAATCTCCACAACAACACTATAAGGAGATCAGCAATATATTTCATTCTATAGATAAAGAAATTAAGGCTCAGAGGTTGGCTGGGCACGGTGGCTCACGCCTGTAATCCTAGCACTCTGGGAGGCCGAGGTGGGAGGATTGCTTGAGGTCAGGAGTTTGAGACCAGCCTCATCAAGAGCAAGACCCCATCTCTACCAAAAATAGAAAGAAATTAGCTGCACAACTAAAAAATAGAAAAAATTAGCCAGGCGTGGTGGCACACGCCTGTAGTCCCAGCTACTCAGGAGGCTGAGGCCAGGGGATAGCTTGAGCCCAAGAGTTTGAGGTTGCTGTGAGCTAGGTTGATGCCATGACACCCTAGCCCAGGCAACAGAGAAAGACTCTGTCTCAAAAAAAAAAAAAAAAAAAAAGGCTGTGAGGTTAACTTATTCAAAGTCACATATTTCATAAGTCCAAGATTTGAGCACAAACTTACCTGATCCCAAAACTCATGATCATGAATCAGTTATTTCTACACTCAAAAGCCCTCAAGAATTCTCTATCACATTCAAATTAAGTACAAAACTCCTTTGGCCTATACTCAAGACCATACAAAAGCTAGGCTCCACCTGTCAATACAGCCTTCCCAGTGCTTCCTGATATGAGGTAAAGACTTCTATGAGTCCTCACACCTGGCCATGACTCTCTTGCTTCTCTTATTTTAATTATACCTCTTGGAGTGCTTACTTGAATTTTAGGCATCCTTCAAAGCCAGGATTAATTTCTACCTCCTCCAAACAGCTTCTCAGGGGCCCAGTGCACAGTGATCCTTCTTTTGATCCCATAGTATTTACCTGTGCTCCTGTCACAATGTACACATCCTAGTCATTGAGGGCGGCACTGGGGAAACAGTCCAATGTGCAAGAGCAGAAGAGAGGTAAGAACTTGGCAGGTCATGAGACTAGTAGTGTGTGGGATGGAGGTGTCTTTTTCACATGGCCCAATTCCACTCATCCTTTAAGTGTCACTTCCTCAGAAAAATCCTTGTCTGACCTCCAGATTAGATCAAGTTCCCTTTCCCTGGCACATTGCATTTCCTTCATGGCACTTACTGGGGCTGCAATTCAACATCATTAGTGTGTTTTTGTTAAGTGTCTGACCCCTCCACTGCACTGTGGTGTCTGCCTTGTTCATTGTTGTATCTCCAAGTGCCTTGCATGATGCCTGGCTCATAGACAGCAGCCAGCAAGTATATGCGGAATGAAGAGGAAAGGTAGAGCAGCAGAAAAAGTTGAACAAGGAATCAGAGACTGAATCATGTAAGACATTATGTACCACATTGTGGTATATTATGTACCACATTATCAGCTACTGCCCTATGGTGGTAGTCATGACTTTTTTCATCTCTATTAGAATAAGCTCCTTAAAAACAGTAAGTACAAATTACCCCTTCCTTGTATCACCATAATCCCTGAAAAGTGTCTTATACATAGTGTTTTGTACTATATGCTGGACCTCATATAGGTAGATTAAAGAAGACAAGATGCAGCTTGTCTTCCAAGAACTTTTAGTAGCTGGAAAGGACACTGGACCAAGACTGGAGATATTGCTCCAGTAGTCACAAATGCACAGAAGTATTACATGGGAAAATAAGTAATGGGGGTGGCCTGGCTTTCTGGAAAAGGCAGGATATTGGAGTTGCTGCATTTTGGGGATGAGGGATGGATGTGGCTCATGTTTTGAACAGAGGCACTTGATTCTCTTTGTCCTGGTGTCCCTCAGAGTTTTTGTTGGCGACCAGGCCACCGGCTTGTGCTCCCAGGGCTGCCAGGCCATCGTGGATACCGGCACCTTCCTGTTGGCTGTTCCCCAGCAGTACATAGTCTCCTTCCTGCAGGAAACAGGAGCCCAGCAGGCTCAGAATGGTGATGTGAGTAACCAGGAGCCAAGGGCTTTTCTGCGCATCCAGGCAGCCTCACCACAGTCGCCTAAGTGCAATGAGTTCACAGAAGAGAAGTGGCTGGATGGGACCTAAGTACCTGGCAGGAAAGATCGGGTGGGGACACAGCATGGCGTTTCTGCCATGAACCTTCAATACAAGGCAGGGTAAGGGGAGGAGTAACTCCATCCAGACTGATTGCGAGTATGGGTGAATGGTGTCAGGAGGTGCTGCTAATCCATTGTAGGTCCCAGGAGCATAATTTCAGCTTTGTCTGGCCATTGTCATTTGAGTTCTCTGAAATATTAGAATCAGGGACCAAGGCATTTCTCCATTCCCTTTGGTTTCTTTCTTCCCTAGGAATATATCTTTGGATTTTACTCTGAGTAGTCTTCCGCCCCCACACTTGCCCCCTTTGTAGTTTGCTTCTGCCTGCATGCATGCGAGAGTCTGTGCCCATACTAAATCTTGGTTCCTCAAGTTGTGTATGTGTGTGTGTACACACACATGCTGTGGTGAGTACATGAACATGTGCACACAAACATGGATATGACTGTACGTGAGAGTATGAGAGTATGCTGCTACAAATGTGTGCCCCATGCATTATTCTGTAATTTGTACTTTCTGAGGTCATAGACTATGTTCTAGAAGGAGTCTCATTCCTTAAGGCCATATCGATATAACCAAAATCCACTAGCTGAGTTGTATTTAAGGAGAGGACTCCAGAAGGCCAGAGAGCCTGGTTAGTGTCATGCCTGGAAATCAGGCCAGGCCTCCCTTGCTCTGAAACAACCTCTGCTGGAAGGTTGCGAGGAAAATCTCACAGGGTACTCACGTGAAAAAAGGGGGGCTTGGGCCCTTTGTCTGGGCTCCTAGTCCCCTGAGCACCTCGGCTTTGCCTGTTCCCTCTCTCAGTTTGTGGTCAACTGCAACTGCGTGCAGAGCATGCCCACCATCACCTTCATCATCAGCGGGGCCCAGTTCCCTCTGTCTCCCTCCGCCTATGTCTTCGAAGTACGTATTTACCCCCGGGCTTCTTGACACTGTGATTGTAGGGCCTAAACAGGTGTTCTGTGTCCCAGCTCACCTCTGGGCAGCTATGAAGAATCACCAGGGGCCAGGCTGAGGCTGGACAAGAATTCAGAGCCCCCTACAGGGGTCATGGCCTATGGGTGGGGAAGTTCCTGTGGGGAAAGGTCTCTACAGTGCGACTGGTTATATCTTCATGTCCTTTTTCTCTTCAGAACAATGGTTACTGCAGGCTCGGGATTGAGGCCACCTACCTGCCCTCCCCCAGTGGGCAGCCCCTGTGGATTCTGGGAGATGTCTTCCTCAAGGAATATTACTCTGTCTATGACATGGCCAACAACAGGGTGGGCTTTGCCCTCTCTGCCTAGACTAGCCAGAGACAACTGTCTTCACTCTTCTCTACAGGACTCTGGGATTGCCCTGGCATTTCTGTGGGCTGATGGCAGCATTTTTCACAATCCTGACTCCTTCTGCTCACTGGAGTCTTACTTTCTGCAACTAATAAATCAGGAAACTCCAAATGTCTTTGATGTTCATTCCAAAACGTCTTTTTTGGCGTGTTCTGCTTTTAGAATAGTAGTTTATTCTAAGTCCAAAATTAGCAACAGTTATTACAGGAGATCAATTCATTGGTCAATGGGAGAAAAAATAGGGAGGAGGTCTCTGAGTATGGCACTGCAGCGTGTATGTAAAGGACACAGCGGTATCTCCACGGGGGCTCTGGTTGGAGGTGATCACCCCTCCTAGCACTCTCTTCCAACTTTGTCTTTTTCCTTCATCCTTAGAAAAGAACATGAACCAGAGAAATTGCTGATTCAAGAAGAATATAAGAGGGGAAAAAAAAAAACTTTCCAGAGCATTTCAAACAGGTGCTCTGAAGACCAAATTTGGTCAGAAAAATTTTTGTTTTTAGGGACGTGGCACAGTTTTAATGAGTGTATTGAGCACTGTTATATTCCTCGTTACTCCCTACTGGTACTCAGGCTGCCTCACATGTTCATTTTTCCTGCTGGGACCTGAAAGCAGTTGAGTTTAAAACCACAGTTTTATTTATTTTGGAAGGAACTTAGGCATGGAGAGGTGATCATACAGTTAGTGTTAACGTCAGATCCAGATTCACTATAATCAATGTTTTCGTATTACATTGCTATGTAGTAAAGTCCACTGTGCCACGGGGGCATGAGAAATATAACTGAGTATGGCTTTGACCCCTAGGAATTTGTAATTAAGTAGAGTATCTTGCTTTTTTGAGCATTTTCCCATCTGAAGTAAGCCTAGTAGTTGGATTTGCATTACATAGTCAGTCATCAACAGTCATCCGAAGTGGGGGCCTCCAATGCTGACAGTTGCCTCCAGGCAATTAAAAACTGGCGTTGACCTGGGACCTCACCATTGTTTCAATAATGGAGATATCACATTAAGAAAAGTGTACCTGGAAAAAAGATGCAAGGCATTCTCAATCCTTGTGCATGCATGTGTGTGGTGGATGTTGGTGTACATTTTCCCACATCATTTCATCAATACCCTCTACTAACAAATAACAGAGCTGATCTTATGGAATTGAGTAATGTCTGCAATGGGCCATTTCTTTTTTCTTTAGTGTTGTGTTTCCCTTGAGGGAGAAAGATTCTTTTTTGTTAAAGGAAAGGGAGAGGCAGGTCAGGTCAGCCCCAATTAACCTCCATCCTCATCCCTTGCCCTGTCAGTCATTGCTCATGCCTTAGTATCACCTCTGATCATGCTCTGGCCTTTGACCTCAAGGGTTTAGAGCAAAGATCTTGAGTTAGAGATATAATTTCTGGAAAGTTTTCAATGCAGTTACTGAGATACAATCTAACTCAAATTATCACAAGTCACCTGAAATTTATCAGCAGGAACCAGTCTGCTGGAACAATGTACGATATTGACAAAGTCAGAGTTAGAAAATTCTACCTGCTCCTGGATTCTAGAAAATAACAACCAACAAAACTCCCCTAGCTTACGGTCTGTTCTACCTTATCTATCATTTGGGATGGGGACAAAATTTGTTAACATGTGAGTATTCCCCACCTTCTACTAGCACCCCTCTGTCCTCGCCACATTAAATAAAGCTCTTGCCTGCCCAGTTCTTATATTTTTGTGATAGAGACTTGGGGGACTGGGTTGAGAGAGAGAATGGGCAGGTCCATAGAGGTAGAAGGAAAGAGGAGAGAATTTAGGTAGAAAGAGCTGGAAGATAATAGGGAGGTGAGAAAGGATAGAAACTATGAAGGGGGAGGTGAAGATAGAGATTTGGGCTTTGTTGGGGGAAATGTTCCAGAGCAACATCTTGTCCTTCTGATTTGGCCTCATGGACAAGTGCTGAGTTTTTGGTAACAACGTGAACATGAACATACTGATAGGTACACAAACAAGCACACATGTACATCAACACCCAAAAGACCTTTACATATAAGCTCACACACTTCTGGCTCTTTGCAGTCAAATCTAGGGCTCAAGGTAGAGAAAATATATAATTACAAAATTTTTTCTTTTTTTACTAGCTCTGACCAACTCCCCCACCTCTTACTCCACGTCCAGCCCTGTCTTTCCACCTCTGCCCTCTTTCCTTTGACATGTTTGGGGAGGAGGAAGCAAAGATAAGACAAATGAAGGTGAGACTGGCCTAGGAGAGTAGGAGGGATGTTCTGACTGTTTATACCCCTTTGTTCTTAAGAGAGGGGATGGAATTAAAGCTGCTCAAGAAGAGGAATATTACTCCTTGCACTGCTGATCAGGGTCACAGAAATCCTAAACCTTTTCATTGGAGGGTTATGGAAGGCATTGTAATGTAGCTGGCATAGACTTTTAAGGGTAGGAAGTTAGGGCTAACCATAAGTCAACCATGTTACCAATAACTTAAGCACGAAGGAGTGGATAGCCACAGGCTCTCAGACCTTGGCAGTTATTCACTGGTAACCAAAAGGAAGCCTGATTTCCCATGAAATCCAGGACCTGGGCCCACTTCTGCATGCTTGTTGGAGGCTGCTGGCATTGCATGGTAGTAACTGAAGATCAAGCTCTATTAGCTTAAAGAGTTTTTTCTGGGAGCTGTGGCAAAAGTACATTTTTATTCCATGGAAAGAGAAAGGAGTCGAGTTGTTTTCATTACCTGCGATGTGGCCGTTTTATGTTTTAGCTCTTATAACAAGCGAAGGGCTGGGTTCCATGAAGAATATATGGTGAGTATGTACCTAACAAATGGCAGTTGGCATTACTATAAGGTATATATTATTTCTATTTTCTAATAAGGAAATTATTGGTAAGAGAGATTGATTTACTTACCAATGGCATACGATTAGTAAGTGGTGTGCTTATAGGTTTAAATGATGCCAAAGTTTATGCTCTTTCCACCACACCACACAGACTCTCAGTTTCTAAGAACACTTGGCATTCCAAGACCCGCTTATATGGGTTTGGGTTGGCTTCCTTTGGGAAAACAAGATGGCTGTATGTAATGGAAATGATATACATATGTGTATCTTTTAGCCTCCTATTCCAACTCTTGCATAATTATTAGAAAAATAGTGTGGTCAAAGCATTTATATATAAAGGTGTTTCTCAGAGTCTTGTTTATGATTGCAAAATATGAAAACAATGAGGAAAAGGTATATTAAATTATAATCAATAAACACAAAAGAATATTTTTAATCATCATCAAAAATAGTAAGTATAAAGACTAAGCAGAAATATGAGAAATGTTTATTTCTGATGTAAAGTGAAAACAAAGACAAAAAATAGGATATAGGTGGTTTGTGTGCCATGATGGTGACGATGTAAACCAGGATGGCATGTACACAAGACTACGACCAACATGCAAACACAGAGTTATTTTACAGTAATATGATTTTGCTTTTCTTTACGTTTCCTTTTTTAGAAACTCTTTGATGCTGTTACACCAGGCTTTCAGTAATTTTATAGTGTTTTAAAAGACTTAGTGCTGGATCAACAGATTACACTCTTATATCACAGGTATGTTTCTGAAAGCAAATGGATTTGGTGGTGCCATGGTTTGGGTTCTTGATTTGAATGACTTGCTGGGAAAGTTCTGCAGTGAAGGTTCATATTCTCCCGTCTACAAATTCAGGTCCTGCTGGGGCTGCAGATGCCGGGTAGTTAGGGAAATATCTGCATACCTTGAACAAGGAAACTACACATTAGTGTTTACTTGTTGATTTCCAAAAAAGCAGAAGCACAAGGCATGATTTCTGCTCTGGGGCTTTTAATTCATTTCTTGCTGAGAAAAATTTAAATTTTCTAGCTAGGGTGACCATATAATTTATTTCCAACTGTAAAATACAGGAAAAACCACACTGTTTTCCCACTCTCTACTCTCTACTGTCACACAGTCCAGCAACACTTCTGGCACCAGATTTGTGAGTTCTTTTCCCCATACACCAAGCAATTCTCCAGCAGATTCTCCAGTGGACACCAGCTGAGTGTCCTCTAATTCAATTCAATTCTGACACTGTCTACCTGGAGACAGCATCACGTCCCACAGGTCAGGGCTCAGTCCCACAAGACTGCCCCCTCCCCCACTTCAGATGCCAGTTGCAAGCACAGGTTGTGACCTGTGTGTCTGAGCAACTGCCTATGAATCAGGGTTCCCATGACCCCTTCTGCAGGTTAGATTAATTTGCTAGAGCAGCTCACAGAACTCAGGGAAACACTTATGTTTGCCAGTTTATTAATAAAGGATATAATAAAGAATAGAGATGAACAGCCAGATGAAGAGATGCATAGGGTGAGATCTGGAAAGGTCCTGAATGTAGGAGCTTCTGTCCTCATGGAGTTGGGGTGTGCCAACTTCCCAGGGTTCACCAACCTGGAAACTTCCCGAATCCCATAATTTAGGAAGCTTCATCACAGAGGCATGCTGGATTATTAACTCCATTTCCAGCCTATCTCCCATCTCTGGAGAATGGGGGATGGCGCTGAAAGCTTCTAATCATGACTTGATTTTCTTGGTAATCAGCCCCCATCTAGGAGCCCACTGAGAGTCCCCTCATTAGGACAAAAGATGTTCCTATCATCAGGAAATTCCAAAGGATTTACGAGCTCTGCACTTGGGAACCAGGTCAAAGACCAAACATTAGAATAAAAGATTCTCCTAGCGTACCTATCTACAAGGGGATTAGGAGCTCTGTGCCAGGGATTGGGGCAGAGAACCAATATGTGTATTTTGTATTATTTCACACCAACTCAGGACAATTTTGAGTGAAGAGCGTAACCCTGTACAGTCCACAGCAAACTGAGATGGATGGTCATCCTATTTAGAGCAAGTTAGGGCTCATGGACCATTCTACCCAGACAAGGGACATAACAGTTTAAATGGTGTAACATGAGAGTC